ACTTTTAATGCTTAGGGAACCCCTATTCAGTCTTCTAGATGTCTGTATTCATCCTCCTCCAAAGTCCTGAAATTAACCAACTTTTAAAAGAACAACAGTACTACTTTCATTTGAAGCATAGCTAATTGTCATGAAAACAATAGCCGCCAACCACAACATGACAATCTACTTGCAGAATCACTAGCAAACAACAAACAGAAGCGGGGTAAAGGCAAGACATTCATAGCATTAAGGATATCTATTTCTATTTCTCATCACTTTCAGCTGCCAAAGCATCGATTCTCGAGGCTCTCAAACTACCCGATATCCCTTTTGTAGAAGATCTTAATGATCTAGTACTTGCGGAATCAGCATCGCCTGAGAGTGGTGTAACCGGCCTCTCACTATCTAGAGAAGAGAGACTAGTGAAGCTACTTTCCCTAACTAATGGTGATGGAACATCAGGAGTAGACGATCTGGAACCCCCGGCTCCCACTCTGGGAGATGGAGGTGCGAGTTTCTGTCCAGTGGTCGGAACAGGAAGAGTCTTCTTTCTCCTACGTTCAGAGGCAGTAGATGCGCTGCTGGCTTTCCTTATGTGACTACTGCCGGGTCTTTCATCAGCTTCCGCAGTGGGTGTTGCGCTTCGAGATGAATTGCGAGAATGAGAATGTGATCGTACGCTTGCACTCCTATCACGCTTCGATGCTGTACTTTGTCGATGAGGTCGATGATGAATCTTCTCAACATCCGTTGCATTTCCTGAACTCCATCCGCGGTACCCGGTCCACCATAACCATCCACCTTGTTCCTTTGCTAGTTTCTTTTCCCGGTCTTTCAATTTCTGTCGTAATATTTTCCGTCGCTCGTTTTCCTTTTCCCAGTATTCTGTACGATATATATCCCAGTTTTCTCTAAAATTAGGAGAGAAAGGTTTGGGAAGCAATAAAAGCTTCACGTAATCTCCACCAGGTGCCAAATCCTCTTCATAACGTTTCGTATCATCATCTTCGTGTATATTCCGTAGCGCATGATGCCCTCCGTTCTTCGTAGCCTTCTCCGATTCTTTCAATAACGATTGATCCACAAATCGATATGAGCTCCCACCGCTGCTGCCCGAGAACAAGCCGTATGAGAATAGAAATGATAATGCTGACAACAATTCCTTCCACCAAGATTGTTTGATAACCACTAGCTTACAATTAAATCCTCTAAGCCCTCTGTTTGTGATACCCACAAATCTTCGCGGCCATCGAATACCTCGCTCCCACTGTCCAGTTCCCCAGATTAATAGTGCTGTCACTATACCGCCCATGAAACACATTTTCTCTGTCATCTCCACAACCCAGTATACAGATCCGCCTACACCACTACCATCTTCTCTCGGCGCCAGGAATAAGGCATATCCAAACCATATGATCCATAGTCCTAACAAACTCAAAAAGAACGCATGTTGCCGCCTTCGTGTGCGAAGTTGTAGCCACTGCGCGCGAAGTGAAGCTTCGAGGATTAGAAGATTGAGATAGATCTGCGGGGGAGAAGAGGGAAGGGATGCGAGAGGATCGGTAATGGAAGGTTCGGACGGTGTGACACCAGTAGTTGGGATAGGAGGAATATGGGCACCTGGCTGCGGAGCGCCTTTAACTATCTGGTCGAGATTAGACATCGCAATGGATGAACGTCTATAGTATTTGAAGCTATGGCACTATCATCATGCTCTCCTCGTAGCTATTGTGGAACTGTGGAATTGGAGGCTTGTGCGCAATGGAAGGAAAATGTTGGGAAATGCGAAGTTATATTGAAGGTCGAAAAAAATGGAATGCGCTGTTTGGTAAACAAACTCCAATATCAGCTACCAATAGAATAAATTTGGAGTTGTGGAGCAATATGGGGTGGCATAGTTCACCGATAGGTATTGATGTTGACTCGTTGGGTTGAGGTTCAATATTCTAGAAGCTCGGCAATGATAACTTTTTGGGTGTGTGGGTGTGGGTGTGTCTCTCTTTTGGATACTTTCATGCAAGCAGCTGACACCGTCATCGGTGAGTGGAGGATGTTTTCTTACTCGACAGAATATCCACTACCATCACCACCAGATTTCTACAACTACGAGGTATACGCACAATATCATATATTCTATGCCAATCCATGGAATATACGTATATTTGATAATCAGGTCCAATCGGAATGAAGCGAATGCGAATAGAGGGAATATTATCCATTCCATGGACTTTTTCTTATGGAACTTCGGATTGTGAGTGCTCCGATCACCGAGTTTGGTTGATCGCATTCGCATTCGCTACTACGATGACGACCTGTCAATAAATCAGTCTGACTCTTGTACATTGATAAATAAACCCTTAAATACCCCTTCAAATGATTGAATGGTTTCTACTGCTTGCTACCTTCTTCCTAGAGTACAGTATACTTATTATTAATTCTCACAGTATCTTTTGTTCTATCTAATTCCTTACCCCCTACGAATCATCAGTCGGCTGAACATTTAAAGTGGCGTTCACGGCTGTACCTGTTCCAAAGTCCTTAACTCCGCCGGCAGTGAAAGTAACATTACTTTCTTTATAAGTAATTGAGAGGTGCACGGGTTGCCTCTCAATCATTCAAGTTGTATCAAACAAACCTCGTATCGCTATTATTGCGATTAGGACCATCAGACACGTTCGGTGGACGAAAGTCTGCTCTCCCATATCTGAAACGACTCTCCAATCCTACCACCTATACTACAATGGCTACCTCTGATACTGAGGCTCCTCGAAGCCAACAATCTCCACTCGCTTCTCGTCGTGAGAACTCCAAGGAAAATGTCCCCGGAAGAGGCTTCTTTCCTCTAGGTTATAAGCCAGCATTCAGTCAGTGGTGGGCAAACGTTTCACCGGCTGTCGCAGAACATACTGTATTGTCCTTCGTTCCATATCTACAAAAGCCACCTACGCATACTCAAACTGGCTCTGCCCCAGTCTCAGCTGGCACATCAACAGTATCAGTAAATGATGACCCGAATGCTGTATCCGCACCAGTACGAACGAATTCTATAAACGATCCTCATGGTCCAAGACAATGGCATTCGAATCTTGTGAAATTGAGTGGAAAGAACAGGGCGTTGAACGAGTTTTCCGTGGAAAGAGTGGGAGAAAAAGTCGAGGATACATTAGTAATGCTTCACGGCTACGGCGCAGGTCTCGGATTCTTCTACAGAAACTTTGAGGGGTTAAGTCGAGTGCCAGGTTGGAAAATATACGCTCTAGATATGTTAGGGATGGGACGAAGCACTCGGCCACCCTTCAAAATAAGTGCAAAGGATCAAGCTGGCAAAATTGCAGAGACAGAAAGTTGGTTTATTGATGCGCTGGAAGAATGGCGCATTCTAAAGAAACTCGACAAATTTACACTTTTAGGCCACAGTATGGGCGGCTACATGGCTGTGGCATACGCACTTAAGTATCCTGGGCATCTCAACAAATTGATACTTGCCTCACCAGTGGGAATTCCTGAAGATCCCTACGCTACTTCAGCGGCCATGCCCGAACCCGAAGAATCTACTCTTGCAAGCGAATTTACACAAGATCAAGAAGCAGATATTGTTTCTTCATCCTCCTCCAATCCAAGCAGACGCACCACTGGCGACAACAACAATTTTGGAAACATGCGCGACAAACGTGAAAACAGCAAATCCAAATCCGAACCCGCCAAGAGACCCTTTCCCTTCTGGCTCACCTACCTCTGGGACGCAAACGTATCCCCCTTTTCTCTCGTTCGCTGGGCTGGCCCCTTGGGACCCCGTCTCGTCTCAGGCTGGACATCCCGTCGCTTTTCCCATCTCCCCAGTAACGAAAACGAAGCACTACACATGTACGCCTACTCCCTTTTCCGACAACGCGGATCCGGTGAATACGCACTCCCTTATATCCTCGCCCCCGGGGCCTTTGCCCGCTCTCCTTTAATCCGCCGCATCCACGGCGTAGGCCGTCAGCCCATTGCTTCCATTTCCTCTTCCTCCTTACCTCTTGCCCAAAAAGAACACGGCTACCCCATCCTCTTAATGTACGGCGACAACGACTGGATGGATGTAGCCGGTGGCTACGCTGCCGAACAAGCCTGCAAAGAAGAGCGCGAAAAGACTCTCGCTACAGCATCGAAAGAGGAAAAAGAACTAGAAAATGGTAGCGCAAAAGTCGTCATTATCCAAAAAGCAGGCCATCATTTGTATCTAGATGGATGGGAAGAATTCAATGAATTCATGAGAGGTGAAATGAAGGAGACGACTGTAGATAATCGCAAGATGAAAAGTGTGTTGGAGAAGCTTGGGGTGCAGGTTGAGGAGAGATCGTAGTATGTGTAGCTCATAGAGGAAGTGGATCTTTGGATGGGCTTGGGAGGGGACACGGTGCGGTTTTACATTAGGTATCTTTTGCTGGTTGAGCTTTAATTTTGTAGAGGAACAAGAAATACAGGATTGTGTGTGGTATTGGAGTTTTGGGGTCTGATTACTCTAGATTTACATGGAGAATGGCGGACAGAGCGAGCAGGGTTTTCTTTTCCTTTTTCTTCTTTCGTTCTTATATTCTTACTTGTAAAACTACAATACGCCTCCACCCATCAGCAGACGTATACATGAGATCTACATAGATCCAGAAACTTAGACAGACTAAAATAAAAATGTATGCACAGCAATGCATAGCATAGCATCGCGGAGATACTCCCAGCCAACAGCCAATACATACATACCATCCAAAAAATATAAATAATCACCAAAATTATATACACCCAAAATATCCCATCACCTTTGCTTGCTGTATCTCCCCCCCTCCCCCCTCCCAAAAGCGGCCTGGGTATATACAATAACCTCCACACGCGACCGATTCCCAAGATTATGCTCGTGATTACATACATGGCCATCTCATTACATTTTACATTAATCCTCCATCGTGCATTCGTTCGTGCGTTCGTTCGTTCGTTTGCTCGTTCTTTCTTTCGTTCGTTGATTAGTTTATTTGTTTGGCCGTTCAAAACTTGGTGCCGTTCACATATGGGAGGAGATTTTGCGTGCCTAGCGTGCGTCCCTCTGTTGATGAAGGTGGTTAGTGGGGAGTAATGATATTAATAATAACTAGGGGATTCTTCTCTTTCATTCATTCATTCATTCATTCTTCTTTTATCCTTTTCAAGAGGAAGAGGAAGAGGAAGAGTGAAAAGAGGGACAGTAATACTTACTAACAAACCACACAATCAAACTCGGCAATTTGAAATTTCCCGAGCGGCCCGTAGCTTTGCTTCGACCGAGCGCAACGGCAATCATGGGGGCGCCATCAGTTTTATACACGACCGGATTCTTCGATCTCAGCACGAGATCGAGATTTTTGGCGAGGGCGTGGGCTTGTTTATCGGCGTAGACGAATTGACTTGGTTGGGCATCGATAATGTCGCCTGCGGCCCAGACATCTTCTGCGCCGTGGACACGAAGATGTTGATCTACTTTGACGAAGTTTTGTCCGTCGAGGAGGTCCTTAGGGATGTATTCGCTGTTGGGGATTGTGCCCAGCGTGGGGAGGTACAGATCACAAATGAGTTTCTCGCCATTGGATAGGGAGAGTTCGGTTTGACTCGTGGGGAGGACTTTCGTCGAGTTGATCCTCGTTCGGAGCCTCACGTTGACGTTCATTTTTTCTAGTTCTTTCTGTGCTCCTGAGGCTATGGGGCTGGTGACCGCGCCTTTGAGAATTTCATCGCTTGATGTTATCTATTTTTCGGTTAGTATATCATTGATTTGGGAACTAAAACTATCCGCGACAGTACGTACTAATATGATGTCCTTGGTTGTTCCAAATGCGAATCCTAACTCTCCGACAGTCTCCACACCCGTAGGTCCTGCACCTCCCACTACAATAGTTTTTGCGTTGGCCACCTTCTCGCGAAATTTGTGAAGTAGTTCTTTAGTCTGTTCATATCCAGAAGGCGCTCCTTTCCACGGTACTTCGCCTATGGTGTGACTACCGGTAGCAATAACCAACGAATCGTATGATTGAACCGAATCCGGACCCGCAGTAGTCCTTATTGTGACTGTTTTAGCGACTGGATCCATACTCGTAGCCGTGCCTAAGAGGAACTCGAAGGATTCGCTTGGATATTTGGAAAAGCCAGGTGCAATCTCTGCGAACATCTGAAAATGGTGTCAATTACGCAGGCATAAATTGGAAAATATCTAACATCGTGCTTTCGCGTACCTTTTCATCGCCAAATTGCCCTGGGACAATTGCTGTTGCCGTCTGTGAGAATAAGATCAAAAGTACGAATAGACATTTTGCCACAAACCTCGGACTGAAGCCATATTCCAATATAGATGTGTAGTTGGCGAGACTAAAACTATCTTGAGTTCAGGAACCGCCGATAGAGTCGTTTTCAAAAGCCTGCATAGCATTAGTTACTCGCTTCATCGCAGCATATAGTTAAGTATACTGACTTATGCGCGATCGTTAGACCGACATAAGAAGCGCCGAGAATTAGAACAGTTTTCGACATTTTTTTTTGGCTATTGATCAGTATTCTCTTGAAAAGTGAGGTTGTGATCTTTTGTTGTCTTTTGAAACATTGAAGAAATGAAAGATCGTGAATAGTTATAGGAAAAATGTGTTAGTAGAGATGAGATAGGAACTATCAGTGCTGAAACAATAGTTTGATGTCAAAGAATGAGGGTAGCAAAAAGGAATAACCATTAGTCCTTGTGCGTGGAACAATCTCATATTAATAGCAATGATATTTTGTCTACCTAGTACCTATCAGTAGAGCAGCGCCACGAATAGTTCGCCGGCTTGATATTGAAATTACATGAAATCCTAAAGCCTAGATAGTGATTATATAGAGGATCGAAGAAGGGAAGGTGGAAAGGAAAGGTCCACATGAGCGAAAGTTTGTTGTGATAGTTTTGAAGATGTTTGGAACCTTTGAGAAGAGAAGTCTACTAAGAATGATTTAACCCAAGACCCCGTAATATAACAATTGGTCTGAGAAGATCTACGTCCCTGCACGGACGAGATCCCCAAAGGTTGTTTTTGGAGCACCGTGCGAAAGATTCATCTCGATTAAGCTTTCGGGATTCGGACGAAAACCCTCACGTCAACCAATGAAAGTAACGGATCTAGATCAAAACACGTAAATTGCTTGATTCAGAAATGGTCCAAACATTGCGGTTACTTAGATGTCACCAATACCACGGGGAAAACATGTGGAAGATGATGCAGGACATGATAGCAGCAAGGTTACTGTTCACTTCACTTAATATGACACGGAGGTCATTTTCTCGAGATCATGTGCAGAAGAGAAGAGGGAATACATGCTAGGTAGCTTCTTGTTACACTTTCAGCCCACCTCGGGCGAAAGACCCTTGGCAAATATAAGCTCTCCTTGTCAATAGATTAATGATGAATAACTAAAAGTATCAATCGACAGGGACCTTATCTTCAATCGCAAAAGAAACAAATCCGACATCCCAGTGTCAATATGTCATAATGATATTGGTACCTATATCACCTCCCTAACCCAACTACTCAACCATGCAACCTAACAAATCACAACCTATCCATATCCATATTTCCACGTCTTGGGTATCCACAGATTACCAATGCTTTCAAGTCCCCCTAAAATTCCATAAAAACTAAAAAAATCCTCCCATATCGTTTCCAAAGTGTATCTGTTCCAAACCATATCAATAATACCTCCCCCTTCCCAAAACTCGTTAAGAATACTATACAATCATAAGGCTAACTACCTCCACCCAGGGCACATTGCTCGCTCCTGTCACCCCGCCATTTCCATCCTCACAATTCACGGGAAGGTGCTGGTGTAGGTCCATCCAAAAGATTAATACAATTGGTCAACAATAAAGCAGCTTCATGCAGTAATTGCCATCTCGTTTTTTCAAAAACGCTTTTCAAAACCATCAGCATCCCAGAACATCCATTGAGACCTGTCAACTTTTTCAGTTCCTCAGGGTTATCCACAGAGCCGAATCGTCGCAAATAGGCTCGCATATCCCGAACCTGGTCGTCCATTGAGTTTGGAGAAGGGACTGGGGCGTTAGTCGGTCCTTCGAGTGCATACCCGTAGCACCATACAATCAAAGCAGCGAAATACATGACCCATGGTCGATTCAGAAGAATATCGTCACGAGCCGAATAATCGAATGGTGGATCCGGTTGTGGATGATCATAGCCGCGGGAGACTGAGGTATGTTCTTTGGGAAGAAGTACTGTACAGAGAAATTTGATTGCATAAAACGTCGCATCCCTAGCTCTAGCAGTCGGTGCCCAAGCGTCTTTCATTCTTTTCTGGGCACTGTTCAAGTCCTGTGATCCAATCGTACGACCAAGAAGGCGTTTTGCTCTTGCAAATATCTGACAGTCAACAACATCAACGTGCATTGCCATATGTGCGAGGTGATGAAGCACTGTCCTGGACTGATAGACAACGTTGTTTTCCTTACCAGTATAGGCATATGGTCCTGTCATCGTTTCAGATTGTTGTAGTAAAGACATGTCGAAATCTCGTTTCCAAAGGTCAAATGCCCGAGTCAGGGATCCTCTCCATTTGTCCCGGCCGCCCAACGCCTGCGATACTCCCAAAGAGTTGACCTGTAGATCACGCTGATGCATATGCCAGCTAACGCTCAAGAGCCCTGCCATCAATATCGTACGACCAAAAGAGTTTGTTCGCACCGTTTGAGCATTAAGAGTTCGTTTCAGACCTTCCAAAAATGATATAGGCTTTACTCCATTGGCTTGGAGGGTTGACTCCAGTCTACCAACCTCGGCACTACTTGTGGCATTCCACATGGCTTCATCACATGGCAAAGGAAGACGCATCTCGTGAGCAACCATGACTGTAGAGTGTCCGAACATCGTTGCGTGCGTAGAGTCGATAACAAATGCCGCAAACGCGGCTCGTCTTGTCGCTTCATTCGTAATCCAATGATTCCACCACTCATCAGGCGTGTTCGCTCCTGAGGTTGACGATTGACGTGAATTATTATGCCCTTGTTCTCTAGCACTCGGAGGCGAATCCAAAGCAGAACGGCCTATCAAAGAGCTACCCCGACGCATCAAGGTGATTGTGGTTGCGTGATGGATGTGGGCTCTTTCGTGGAGCGCTCTGGTAGAGTACATTTTTTCATATACTTCTAGTAGTAAAAGAGCCTGGAACACCCATAGTTTTGCTGGAGGGCGGAATTGTTGGTCACTGAATATCTCCCATCTAAGGTGCCATGCCAAGAAATTCGATAGTTCCGCACCAGCCTGCGTCACATCTTCAGCGTACGTGTTATCAAGAAGAGAGGCACCTATAGCCATCATTGCAATCAGAAGGAGGTTCGGAGTATTATCTGGCGAAAACGTTGGTTTGTGCACTAAAACAAAATTAGCAAGCTCTACTATCTGACTTCAACAACGAAACACGAAAACCCCTACAAATTGGCATTTGATCGCTAAAATGATACCAGTAACTACCAATGTAGGTCTGCATCATTTTCCTACTCATCATATGACTGTCATTGCTACGGTCCCCATCAAAAAGTGCATCTTTTTTCTGCTTAACAAGGGGTGCGTTTCCAGTCTCATTGAATCTTTCCTTGATCAAGTCAATAATGGCTTGGCTCTTCTCTTCTGACAAAACTGTCTCCGGCAAGCTAGTGTCAAGCAGACTCGTTACAGCCATAGGATGATGGGGTTGATGAGAAGTAGGAGGATAAAACCCTCCAAGACCAATCTCGTTAGTAAAATAGGGCGCATAGTACTGCGCTGTAGGGTCGGGGTAGCTGCTAGAAATGCAAATCAGATACTTATCAAACTGGGTAGTTATATTAGGATACTCACTTTGCGTAAGGCTGTTGACTCATCTGACCCATTTCATTTTGCTGGCTGCTAAAAAGGTATGCTACAAAATCTTCGGGTATGGCGAATGGAGATCGATTGTAGCATCCTTCGCCACCGAATACCGGCATTGTGTTTGACGTAGCCATTTGATCTAGAAGCACCATGTCTGGACCCGAATGCTGAGCTTGACTGATCTCATTTGGATACTCTGTAGAAACAGGAGTTTGAAATTGTGATTCAGGCTCACGTGAGGGCATCGTAGTTGCAACCACATTCGCAAAACCTGGTGGTGGTAAGCTAAAGGGGGGAAAGTTCTGTTGGCTTATGTATGCCTGCGGACTATGCGGTTGATTGCCATGGTAGTTTTGGTTGTTCGGGGTATTCGGTAGCATCGGGTAATGACCAACATTTGCTTGTAATGGTCTGGAGAAATCTGACGACCTCGTATCAGAAGTTCCAAAGCTTTGATGTCGTTGACCTCTACTATTAGAGCCTGCAGATGATGAGTTTTGACCCCTTTGGATCATATCAGAATCGGAGCGCTTGTAATTGGCAGATGGATATCCATCTGCGCCGTTAACTGCGCCAGCACCAGAATAAGTTCCGGGCGCCGATGTGGTCACTGGCGAATATGAAGTAGGTCGATCTTGTGGAGACTGGTATGGTATTTGCGTTGTCCGTATCTTAGACCCCATTAGACTCGGTCTTCTTACCTCGGGGGACGCGGACCCTTGAGGTAACTGTGGTTTTGAAATCTGCGATACTGGTGACCCTTGACTCAACATTGAATCTTTTCTGTGTAGCTGTGAACCTTTTGCAGTATGCCGGTCACGATGCCTATTGCATAAATCTTGTCTGACAAATGTTCTCGAGCATCCCTCAAAGTCGCAGTTGTATATCTGTTTCGGGGTATGGTTTAATTGATGGCGGTAGCTAAATGGGCAAGCTGTCAGCAACAAAATCTCAGATTATTGTGACTGTGTAGACCTTACAGGTGCTCAGCTCTAGAATAGCTCTTTCCACAGCCTGATGTAGAACATTCAAACTTCTTGTCTAGACCTTTGCGACTTCGCCTTCGTTTTCGCGAGGGACCATCATCACCAGAAGTGTGGCCCTCTGCAAGTTCTCCATGCGAAAGCTCGCCCTCGTCTTCCGTGGGTTTCATTGATATACGGCTTCGACGTCTACCGCGATTCTTATCGTCAATTTCTCCACTAGGCCTGTGTTGTAGTATGGGGTCGGCCATTTGAGACATAGCAGGCGGATCGATTTGAGCCATGATATTATTTGCTGGCAAATTAAGAGGATATGCAGTCAATATCGAAGTCATAATCTCATAATATCTTGCAGTAAGTGTCGCAATATGTACGGTATCTTGGGTTGCCAACACTCTGTCGGGGGTCTTTGAAAGCTTTAGGGGGTTGAAATTGGCGCATAGGGTGGCGAAATCACTCTACTATCGTCCGAGGTCAGACTGGATTAAACATTTTATATATGAAGAAAACGAGACAGGATAAAGCAATATAAATGAGTGAAGATGAATGGTTAGCTAGGCATGATGCAAAATGCAGCAGTATAATCCAAGACTCTCATGCGCATCAAGGAACGCGGGGAAATGTGCTGTAAGCTCCCTGGTCAACACGAGAGTACTCTATGTCGGACAGATGATGGAGTCGCAACGTGAGATGTGGCTAGGTCATGCAAGAACACACGCGGTGGACCGAAGCTGACGAACGCGCATAGGGCGCTTATATGAGATTAGAAAAGAAGATGGAAATGGAAATGGAAATTAAAGATTAACATGGTATATAGCTATAAGAAGTGTCTTTCGAATACTCACTCATGCTTCCAAAGTTTGTGTTGTCGATCACAAAAGAAGAAATGGAGGGGAAAAGGCGATATATCTCGTGCTAAATTTTGAGTTTGTGCTTGTTGAACCGTAACCGTAGATTTTCAAGAGTCTGGGGCCGGAAGCTTTTCTTTTTAGCGGATCAGTTAAAGCTGCTGTGGATCTTGTGGGGACAATAAACTTGGCTTCATCAGGTTGTTTGACCACTTTTTCTTTTTCTTTCGTCCTTATTATGCTCGCCTTCTATCGGTCCGGGAATGAATGTTGGTCGTACTGATTGGAATTCGTATTGGATATCGATGTACGATGTACGATGTACGATGTAATCCTTTCGCATATAAGCTGCCTGAACAATCGATTGAGAGAGAGGAGCGGACGGGGGTGATGCTCCCCAATCTTATATCTTTTGAGAATCAATTGTTGGAATATTAATGTGAAAGCCGCGTTCCTCTGGTAACTTCTTTGCTGAACTCTGTTGAGGGCTAAAGTCCTTCCTTATTAATCGACCACCACGTTCATTTGTGTTCGTGGAATATTATTCCGATGGGTTGGGTAAGGTTAGGAACTGGTTGGGGTTATGTAGGATTGAAGGCTTTTCCAAGACATCGAGAGTAGTTAAGACTGGGAAAATACCTTCTCTGCTTACAGATTGAGGATCGACCTGTGCTTTAAGCTTACCAGGCTTAGGCAGGCTTGCAGTGCCAATCTGACGGAACAGGCGATGTGAAGGATTTGGAGTGGTTGGATAATACCTCAACCTTGAAATTTCATTTTATCAGCTGCATATACTTGTTCGTTTATGTGCCGTGTGAGTGTCTTAAAGTAGCAATTCTGTTCATCTACTGACCTTGTGCTTTTTGATTGCTTGGGGAAGGTCCACAGTCGTCTAAATTTCCATCTTGCTAGACGTCAAATATACATTACACCTCCTCGCGGGGAATTCTAGTTACACCCGTCATAAGTTCTCATGAAAGTCATGTGTATTGTGTGGCTTGAAGTCGGAGTATTCGATGAAATACCTGGTAGGTAGATACTTTATAGTGTACAACTCATCTGAATCAGCACTCCGACTTCGACTTGAAGATATACCACCCGAGGAAAAAGATTGGCTCTTCTCTACCTTGTTCAACAGCTGTCTGGGTCTAAATTGAGTATAAGTGCTTGAATGAGATCTGCTTTCCATCCTTCCTTAAGCTTAGAGAACGATGTACGCCAAATAGAAAAATTTACAAGGAAGAAATGAGGGGTATGTTTGAATCTTGCTTGCCGGACCGGAGCCACAGCGAGACCAAAATCAGGACAAGAATTAATAGAAATTGATTTGCTTTTGCTCCGTGTGATAACATCTTTCTCTGAAATACCAATATGAGGAAAGTTACGATCAATATCGCCGTCTTCCGATGGGGCTCGCTTGACTCCCTGATCCTTATCGTCTCAAGGCATGATGGCCCAATGTCAATGTTGATTTGAAAACATAACGTTCTTCTCTGGCGATTCATCTTGGTGTTCGTGCTCATACTTGTACATCTCCGTGGAATGAGGGAGTACCTAGTATTGAATCCAACAACTATACCCGTTCTACAAATAGGTAGCTACCGTAGCTGCTGTAGCTATCAATGGCTTATCGAACGAAGAAATTAGACTGCTAAACTTTGGAATGCTAAATCCCTAATGTGCATTAGCATCACCCGCAAAGTGGCTCTGGATGTCTTGATCCGCTACTAATAAATCCGGGGTACGTAAACTTTACCTAGCAGTATCCAATTTCTTAGCCCCAGTAAACTTTCCTGTTGGTGTGTCGGATCTTTTTTTATTCACCAGGCAGGTCCTTATGACGATCTTTCAACTTTCCACTGAATCATCTTTCAACACCCAAAAAATCGAACCATTTTGCTACCAATGTAATCCAAAAATTCGAAGATTGAATTTATCCATCGACGATCCGAAATACAATTTTTCAAGCTCCTAGGACCATCTCTCGACTTCCTTCAAGATGCGTAAAGGACCGCGTCCGCAACAGCCTGATGATTCAGAAGCCTCAAGTACGAAAGAGAAAGGAAATCCAATTTTAACGCCAGCTACGAACGGGAAAGGCAAACGGGTGGCAAGCAGTGCAGTTAATGCAAATGTGTCGGGCGCGAATAGCACTCCCACTGCGTCTAGTGTTATGGCAGGAGCTACGGGAGGTACCAATATTGACGGAAATTCTAAAGTATTATGATCCACCATCATCACCTTTGAGGAATCAAGCACACAAGCTAACAATACCTTCATCCACAGATACAATGGTCGGAGTTCGACGCATCTTTCTTGCACAGGTATCGATACGAATACGGGTTAAATACACCTGCTGCCTTCAACAGTGCATACAATCAAACTGTTCTTTCTCAATCGAGTATTGGCCGCATGTCACCAAGCATGGTTCGTAAGAATAAGAGGCAGAGCAAAGAACAATTGGCCAACGCTGTACGCAAGCACTTCAACAGTCAGTCGGTCAACGAAAATGAATGTGTAGCGAAGACATTATATAAAGTTCGATATCAGGGTGAGTCAATATGGTGCTATTCATAGTTGGTAATGGCCTCAGCTAATCGTTCATAGACAAGAAATTCCGCATGAGATTTATGCCACAGGCGCGACCTATGGAGCGATCTCAGCCTGAACGACCCGCCTAGTCAGGTAAATACAGCAATCTGTGAGCAACTTGGCTTCAATTCGATCGGTATTCAGCGACTATCATCCTAATTTAATAATACAACGAGCATATGACGGAGGGGAAAGAATGGCCGGTGTTATGAGGATAATCGGGTAGACTTGTATAATACTTTGTACAGAGCACTTTAAGGAGAGCCTTTTCATTTCACGGAGTTGGGGTTTACGAGCTTTCGCCGTGGAGTTTAGTTATTCAAAATAATGACTGTCATGACCAATGGACAATAGAACGGAATTAGTACTTCAAACTATCTAATCAATTCCCTTATTAATGGAGAGTTTTTCGTTCTGCATTTCAAAACTTTTGGATAACTCTCAGCCTTGTTGCGATTTGTAATAAATTACTGGGGTTGATTACGCTCATCCAATCATAGTTGATTCATCTCAATTGCCTTGCCGGCAAAGAAAAAAATATTGGAGCTTTCCAGAATGATCGTTGATATTCATGATAGTTTTAGCTTAACTCCAACATACATTCACCTGAAATAGTTTTTATTTGTTCCTATGATTGTTGCTCTACACATCTTGATATATTTCTTGCGTACATGGTGAACGTCAATCTATCATAATGAAGACAAGAACAACAGGCCTTCTTTCAAAGGCGGCCAACCCATCTCGAATTTTATATTCCACACCAGCAAGTCGTCATTGTACATTGAAACGAGATGACCACAAGCCACCTCAAACACGAAGTCTTTCAACAATCCGCGCATCAAGGGGAAGGTGCAGATCTTCTCAGAACGACCTGACACTGAATCCAATACAGCGACGAGTGAGTCTCTATCCTGTCAAGGTGCCCAAAGTCACATAACAAAGTACTGACATAAAGTCTCCCTAGTCTTTTCATGCGACATCAAGAAATCAAGCCACGAAGAATCCTTATGATGTCCTCGGAGTTGACAAGGGCGCCTCTGCTTCAGCCATCAAGAAAGCATATTATGGTCTTGCTAAAAAATTTCATCCAGACACCAATAAGGACCCAAATGCTAAAGATAAATTTGCGGAAGCGCAATCTGCCTATGAGCTTTTAACCGATCCACAAAAAAAGGCAGCTTGGGATCAGTATGGATCTGCAGCATTCGACCAAGGAGCAGGACCCGGACCTGGTGCTGATCCATTCGGCGGTGCGGGGGGTTTTGGAGGCTTTGGGGGTGGATCTGGTGGTTTCCCAGGTGGAGGATTTGGAGCAGATTTCAATTTCGAAGATTTGTTTAAAGGCTTTACTGGAGGCAAAAGGGGTAGAGGTGGTGGTCGCAATCCATTTCAAGAAGAAATACTTGTGGGAGACAGTATCGAGGTTCAAACGAATATCTCCTTCATGGAAGCAGCAAAAGGGACCAGCAAAACCATCAACATATCTCCATTATCTACTTGCAAAACATGTACTGGAAACGGTATGAAATCTGGGACGAAGCGATCGGCGTGTAAGTCCTGTGGAGGAACCGGTACTCGCGTGCATTCTATGGGTGGTTTTCAAATGGCTTCAACATGTAGTGCCTGTGGTGGGCAAGGAATGTCGATTCCGCCTGGAGGAGAATGTAGGACATGTTCTGGAAATGGTGTCGTGCGTGAGAGGAAAACTATCAACGTTGATATACCTGGAGGTATTGAGGATGGCATGCGATTGAGGTTAGACAGGGAAGGTGATGCTCCAGCTACTGGTCAGGCTGCAAACCCCAATAGCCCATCTCAACCTGGTGATCTTTATGTACTCGTTCGAGTAGCCACAGATCCAAAATTCAGTCGCTCTGGGTCCAACATCTTATACACCGCAACAATTCCTTTTACAACTGCATTACTTGGAGGTGAGGTAAAGATACCGACATTGGATGGAGATGTCAGTGTTAAAGTGGCAACTGGAACCGGCACTGGAGACAAGATTACCCTAGGCGGCATGGGAATGAAAAAGCTAGAGGGACGCAGGGGAGGTAATGGCGACCTGAAAGTTGAATTCAAGGTCAATATGCCCAAATACCTAAGTGCTAACCAGCGAACAATTGTGGAAATGCTCGCTGATGAGATGGACGATAAGACGGCCAAGCGAATTATGAATGTTGGCCGTTCCTCAAGCTCTTCGTAAGTTCAGTGTCATTGTTTTCAATCCAGACACTGACGGAGACAGGCCATCTTCCCCATCAAATACCGAAGAGAACAACAAGCAAGAAGGGTTCCTTAAATCCGTCTGGCACAAGTTCACAGACGGTGCTAATTCGCCAAATGAAGGCGATAAAGAAGACGACCCTAAGAAGAAATGATGAAATGATGAAGCTCGCTGTATAATAAATGGCAAAAGGTCTAGAAATGCCACTCTGTATAAAGGATAAAGGGGCAAAATGAAGGAGCATTGAGTCTCCTGATGGTAGGAATAATGAATGACTGTCAATCTACGAATGCATATCTTCTAGAATGCCGTTTAGAATCTGTCCATGGCCCATACTTATTAGTATAAAATGAAATGATATCTCAACTCACAGTAGTGACCTGACTAATATATGGAATTTTTCAATGAATATTATCCTCTAGGGTCAGCTTCGCTTGATACCCCGTTCATCCCACTACCGAGAGTATTTCATCTCAGCCTACATGCACGTCGACGACTGGATGTGATGAACCTTGATAATACGAGGCTTTCCTACCAATCAAAATGTAATACACATGGCTGCCGTGACGACTACCGTTTGCAGAGAACATACTAGCAACCTAGTACTGATCTTGTATGCTACCTTCATTTGTGTGCAGAGATAGAGCCTAACTAGCCCAATACCAGACGATCTGTCCATATGAGTACTCCGATTAGTAGATGATGTCTATTGAACATGGCGTATCTTTTGATGGATATTGTACTGAGTCGAGGCTGCCTCCTTATCTAAACAGGGCGCTTATTACATATGCTGACACCCTATAGTTTGAAAAACACTCTTTCATAGTCAGGTAAGTGGTGGGTCATCACTTAATTGTGGTTGAAGAGAGAACAAACTGTTGGGTTGATGTTTCTTCATGCCCGTCTTCTCGTTTTGTGATTGCTATATGTGATTGATATTGTTTCAATTGCATCCATGTCTTGATTGATTGATGATAGTGACGATGATGATGATGATGATGATGAGAATAACGTCCATATATGGAGATAGTACGAAACGGAAACACACATTCGGAATGTTGGATGTATAACAATAATTTATATATACTCTCCACGATCATGTATGGTCTCACAAAATGTTCTCTGGCGCTTATCTGAGTAAATCTGGGCCTCTTGAAGGGCCGCAGAAAGAAAAAGAAAAAGCAGTGCAGATTCCCTGTATTGTAGCACCAGCTAGTGCCCTGTAGTCCCACACACTCCATAGCACAAAGTAATGATAGCTTTGGGCACCTGCTTTACATCGATTGATTTCACTTCCAATTCCTAGATAGTCACAAATATTTGCTATTTCTCCTTCAACATATCAAACTACATAATAATAAATCAATATTGCACTTTTACAGCTTCCTAGGTATGACACAGCCATGACATACATGAGTGAAATTTTGCGCAAGGATCGGACCATTCTTTCAAGATACTGCGCATCCAAATAAATTAACAAATTAACAAGTCTTACCACTGACGACACCAACCCCTCCTCCCCACCGCTTTCCCATCCACATTCGACGAATATCGGTGTACACGATATTGTCCATTATATCAGTTTGATACCTACAGTCAAATCTTTTGAATACCCTTTGAAGTGATACATCTCCTTCACAAATTTTGCCCGGGTATCGATAATCAGGGTGTCGAGCATCATCCTGTCAATCTTCGAGATGCAAGCGCCGATGATATCAGCGCCTCTTAAGGCAACCAACGAAATCGACTGGATACAGCCGTTGAAGAATTATATCAGACAGACATATGGTGACGACCCGGAACGATATGCGGAGGAATGTGCTACCTTGAACCGCTTGCGACAGGATATGCGAGGAGCAGGGAAGGACAGTGCTGCCGGAAGGGACCTACTCTACAGATATTATGGACAGCTGGAACTATTAGACCTGCGATTCCCGGTCGATGAGAACCACATCAAAATCTCCTTTACTTGGTAAGGTTTCAATCAAATGAGGGGCATCAGATTCCAGCTAACAATATGGCCAGGTTCGATGCATTTACACACAAAGCCACTGCACAATACTCTTTGGCGTACGAAAAAGCTTCGATCATATTTAACATTTCTGCCGTACTTTCATGTCATGCAGCGCATCAAAATCGATCGGAGGATTCTGGTTTGAAAACAGCATATCATTCTTTCCAAGCGTCTGCCGGCATGTTCACTTATATTAATGAGAACTTTCTCCATGCACCATCTACGGACTTAAGTCGAGATACGGTTAAGACTCTGATTCAGATCATGCTTGCTCAAGGCCAGGAAGTGTTTCTTGAAAAGCAAATTGCTGATGGTAAGAAGGTTGGACTATTAGCAAAACTTGCTAGCCAAGCAGGCTATTTGTATTCTCAAGCGCTTGAAGGAACCCAGGACAACGTGAATAAAGCCATATTTGAAAAAGTCTGGCTTCTGGTGGTACAAGTAGGTGCTTTCAATCTTTCCCAATTTTATAGGGCACACTTAGGCCATAGTGGTGATCCAAGAGCAAGCTCGTACTAACACAAACAGATCAAAGCAAATTACATGTCATCTCTAGCTCAGTATTATCAGGCTCTTGCGGATGATGATGCAAATTCACACGGTGTAGCTATTGCACGATTACAGGCAGCAGAAATATCATCTAAGGATGCCAGTAAACTTGCAAACAGTTTCCCTGGAAATGTGCCCGTCAATTCAAACTTCACATCAGAGACAGGCACAACCTTGATAGAAATTAACAGGCGTCATCTTACCAATGTCCAGGAAAAACTTGCTGAGCTTATCAAGGATAATGACTATATCTATCACCAGACTGTACCAGCCGAAGCGGCTCTCACTGTGATCCCAAAACTTCCTGCTGCTAAAGCGATACCAGTTAGCGAACTCTATGCTGGTCAAGATATCCAACGTATCACGGGACCTGATATCTTCCAAAAGATAGTGCCCATGTCTGTGACGGAATCTGCTAGCTTGTACGATGAAGAAAAGGCTAAACTGGTACGGGCAGAGACGGAACGTGTAGAAACTGCCAACAGTGAGATGGCCGCAAGTCTTGATTATCTCAGATTACCCGGAGCGTTACAAGTTCTCAAGGGCGGATTTGATCAAGAGCTAAGCGGAGGCGAAGATTTCAGGAACTGGTGCGATGACTTAGCTGGACATGTTTCCCCAATGTCAACTTTTGATTCTTTGAAATCTAGCAAAGAAGCTATTGTGTCAATATTGGAAAAGAGCAGCAAACAGCTGGATATGGAGGAGAGTGTCTGTGAGAAAATGCGATCAAAGTACGAAGGAGAGTGGACTCAACAACCGAGTTCTCGGCTCACATCTACACTTCGAAACGACATACGAAACTATCGAGAAGCTCTTGAGGAGGCTGCTCGCAGTGACAATCAGCTTTACTCAAAAATATGCCAGCATGAAGTTGACTTTGACGAAATGCGCTCTGCTGGTGAACTCGGCGAGTCTGATGTGCTTTTTCAAAGAGCGTTGATCCAGGTCGGTGGAAAGTCGAGGAACGCTGCCGGAAGTCCCGGCACACGTGAAGGAAATCTATTAGATGATGATTTCGACGATGGGAAGAATAGTGTCGCAGACCAGATAGCCAAAGTTGAGGATATACTCAAGAAACTGAATCTAGTCAAACGGGAAAGGTCGCAAGTTTTGAAAGATCTTAAAGAAAAGGTTTGTTGGAAGCTTCACATTTAGATTTGTTTTCGCTAATCATTTGATAGGCGCATAACGATGACATATCTCACGTTCTCATCCTTAACAAAAAAGGCATCTCGAATTATGAGAACCAGCTTTTCCAAGCAGAGCTTGAGAAGTATCGACCCCATCAGAGTCGTTTATTGTCTGCGAACCACAAACAGTCGTCACTAATGAAGGAACTCACACTTACATTTAATGATCTTCTGCAAGACAAGAGAGTCCGATCTGAGCAAAGCAAGTATGAGACCATAACCCGTCAACGATCATCAGTAATGTCGAAGTATAAGCGAATCCATCAAGAATATCTAGATCTACAAGCAGGTCTCGAAGGTGCTAAACAGTGGTATTCCGAAATGAAGGATACTGTTAATAGCCTTGATAAGAATGTCGAAACGTTTGTCAATAATCGTAGGTCAGAGGGCGCTCAGCTTTTAAATCAAATCGAGCAAGATCGGGCTAGCAACGCGAATGGGCATGCAGATAGGGAGCGTGAACGTCTTAGGGGATTGATGGAACGCATGTCTATGGACCCCTCGACCTCGCCAACATCAAGCAAACCTCCTCGTAGGGGATCTAATGCGTATAGTAATACATCTCCATCAACAAGGTACCCAAGTACAAACTTTGCGGGACAGTACCAAGTACCAACATCGCCACCTCCACAAACTACGACTGCACCTCCCGCACGTGGCTCTATACCGGCCTCTACCAATGGAGGATTTTACCCTCAACAACCTCAGAGAGCCGACCCATACAGCTCAGCCCCTGGAAGATCCTCGCCATATGGACAATACAATCCAAGCACACACTCGCGTAATCCGTCCCAGCCCCTCTCACCTCCACCAAACCAGAGCCAATTCCCACGCTCGCCCCCACCACAGCAAACTCAATTTCAACAGAATCAACATCCATACGCGACAATGGCACCGCAACAACAAGGGCAATATGTACCAGCTGGCTATGTACCTCCACCTCCACCACCTGGACCGCCACCCCTTGGCCCTCAACAAACATATCATCAACCTAGTGGCTCTATGACAGCTCAAAATGATTATGGATATGGAAACAGCGCTACTTCTCATCAACGTGGTCAATCACAGCAAAGTACGAACGATCCTTGGGCTGGGCTTAATGCATGGAAGTGAGGAATGTAGAGTCTATCGGGGCGTTTTTAGTCACAGGGTGAGCGGATCACTCAGGGAATTACACCTTGGCTCATGGGGGATATGGCGCCGAGGAGGAAGGAATGAGTAAATGAAGAGTGTGATACCAATTCATTGCGGCAATGACACGGAGGAAGGCAGAAAATGTATTTATATCCATTGAATCTCAGAACCGACTGGTCTACTTGATAGTCTAATAGTCATCACGTAAGCAATTTTGCAAATGCATACGCAGAGTACGCTTGTAGTCAATCTTGTCAAACGTGGCCGATATGGTTAAGACTGCAATTATTTAGAGCCCCATGAGATAGGAACACATGAACAGTTTGAACATTTAAGTTGATAAAAGAAATATGTAATCATCTTCCTCATAATTTGATAGATGAAGTATGAAAGTGTTGATTGAATTTATTTTTAATTTAACTACCGTATTAATTGGTTCATAGTATGATATTTAGTTGTTAGTCATACTGGATTAGTAGACCATGTGCTAGGTTAAGAAAAGATTTTTTTTGAATCATAATATAATGATAATAAAAATTATAGAAAATACTTATCTCTTATTTGCAACCCTTTTTGAAAGTTTCAAAACTATTAAATTAAAATTAAAGCTATAGATTTATATTATTATTATTATTATTATTATTATTATTATTATCCTTGAATTTATTTCAATTAAAAGATTAATATAAATTTATATATCTTTAGTAATATATATATTATTATCTCATTATCTAAATCAAAATACTCTGAATTTTTTGAATTCTTTTTTTCAAAAACACAATATATTGTGATATAAAAAGGCATTTTAAAAGAAAAAATTGAAAAACTTTGAAAAATAATGATATATATAATAAATGTGGAATATAAGATATTATGTGTTATATAAAAACACGTTCAATCTTATCAAAAATCAGATTTTTTGGCTATAAGGTATTAATTATACTATGAACCTAATTAATTAATACGGTAGTACAAATTTTGAGGGGGTCTCGAGGGGGGGGTAATTCAGGCCCGCCGGATCACGTTTATCCGAAGTTCGGGTCACCGATATTGCCGATGGGGCTTAGAAAGCAGCTTCGAATGTCATGACGAGCAGATAGTGGTGGTAGGGAAGCTCATAGAATAATTGTCACCGTCTATGATTTACCATTGCCATCCACATCAACCATTTTTTCACGTTCTAAATCAGCGGTTTTTATTCTTTTCTAGTATACAATTTAAAGATTCTTTTGTCTTCTGTATTCTATTTCTTAATTATCCATTCACTCCATAATCAAAAGCTATGCTTTACGGCCAAAACCTACCGTGGCGGATTGCGCTTCGAAATGTAACCATTAAACAAAATACAGAAGTTTCAAGTACGATTTTGAGGAGGACAATCAGACAGTATCATGGCAGAACCGCACAATCGTCGGTCTCTTTACGATCTCGTCCCATTCATTCAGGTCTCGGTGGCGTCGCGAGGTTTTCAACATCTCCCGCTATACAAAAGGATGTCCCGAAAGACTTGTTCAATCAAGCAGACATAACATCCGCGGAAGAGAAGAAGGAGAAAAAGGCAAAGGCTAAGACTGAGTCAGTTGAGGAAGTCAGTGGCGAGAAAGAAATAGAAACCAAGAGCAAGACTGGCGAAGCAACATCTTCTGGTAGTAACACTTCTTCTGGAAGTGCGGCTGACGGGAAGGGAAGCAGCGCCGGTGGTGCAGGAGATTCTGGCAATAATGATGGCGGAAAGAAAGGTCGCAAAGGAGCTTCGGAAAAGGCTTTACAAAAAGCTATGGTTCCAGAGGTATATCCACAAGTGATGGCAATTCCCATCACCAAGAGACCTCTATTCCCTGGATTCTACAAGGCTGTCACTGTGCGAGATCCCAATGTTGTAGCTGCTATTCAGGATATGATGAAGAGAGGTCAGCCATACATCGGAGCTTTCTTATTCAAGGACGACAATATGGATAAAGATGTCATTGAGAATATTGATGACGTACATGATGTTGGAGTTTTCGCACAAATCACTAGCGCTTTTCCTGTTCACGGAGATGATTCTGCTTTGACTGCGGTACTTTATCCACATCGTCGAATTAAGATGTCCGCTCTCATCAGTCCTGAGCGTGAGAACACTGATGCAAATAAGACTGAAGGCACGCAAGCTGAGCCACCTGTTCCCGAGATCATACCTCCAAAGGCTGCAAAGGAGGAACCTTCTGAGAAGAAGGGTGATGTTGTAGCTAGTTTCGAAGAGGGAACGGTGACGCAGAAAACTTCAGACCGACCTGTATTGCCATACGAGCCAATATCGTTCTTGCGCAAATACCCAGTCAGCCTGGCAAACGTGGAGAATCTGACCGAAGAGTCATATGATCCTAAAAGCCCCATAATCCGTGCTGTTACAAATGAAATTGTAAATGTGTTCAAGGAAGTGGCAACTCTCAACAGTCTCTTCCGAGATCAAATCTCCACATTTTCGATGAGTCAGTCATCAGGCAATGTCATGTCGGAGCCTGGAAAACTTGCGGATTTCGCTGCGGCTGTTTCTGCTGGTGAAGTTTCCGAGCTCCAAGATGTGCTTGAAACTCTCAATATTGAGGAGAGATTACAAAAGGGTTTGACTGTCTTGAAGAAGGAGTTGATGAATGCTCAGTTACAATCTAAAATTTCAAAAGATGTTGAAAACAAGATTCAAAAGCGTCAACGCGAATACTACTTGATGGAACAATTGAAGGGTATTCGTAGAGAGCTTGGTATTGAGTCTGATGGTAAAGATAAGCTAGTTGAGAAGTTCAAGGAGAAGGCAGCCAAGCTTGCGATGCCGGAAGTAGTCAGGAAAGTCTTTGACGAGGAAATCAACAAATTAGCACATCTTGAACCAGCTGCGTCTGAGTTTAATGTTACAAGAAATTACTTGGATTGGTTGACGCAGATCCCATGGGGTCAACGCAGTGCAGAAAACTTTGGAATCAACAATGCTATGACCGTACTTGACGAAGATCATCACGGTTTGAAGGATGTGAAAGATCGCATCTTGGAATTCATCGCAGTTGGCAAACTGAGAGGTACCGTAGAGGGTAAAATTTTATGTTTCGTTGGTCCTCCCGGTGTCGGTAAGACAAGTATTGGTAAGAGTATTGCCAGAGCTCTCAACCGTCAATACTACAGATTTAGTGTGGGAGGTCTCACAGATGTCGCGGAAATCAAGGGTCACAGAAGAACATATGTTGGAGCACTTCCTGGAAGAATCATCCAGGCGCTGAAGAAATGTCAAACTGAAAATCCATTGATTCTGATTGATGAGATTGATAAGATTGGTAGAGGTCATCAAGGTGATCCAGCATCTGCACTTTTGGAATTACTGGACCCTGAACAAAACACCTCGTTCCTCGACCATTATCTTGATGTTCCTGTGGATCTTTCTAAAGTTCTCTTTGTCTGCACAGCCAACATGACCGATACCATTCCTCGTCCTTTACTTGATCGTATGGAGATGATTGAATTGTCTGGATACGTCGCGGATGAAAAGATGGCCATTGCGGAGCGATATCTTGGACCCGCAGCCAAGGAGTTGGCTGGTTTGAAGGAGGTTGATGTTAACCTCAGTAAAGAAGCCATTGAGGAACTCATCAAGTCTTACTGCAGAGAGTCTGGTGTTAGAAATCTCAAGAAACAGATTGAAAAAGTTTACCGTAAATCTGCTTTGAAAATTGTCCAGGACCTTGGAGAGAGTGTTCTTCCTGAAGAAGAAGCCTTGACTGAAGAAGGCAAGGCAGCTCTAGAGGAGTCCAAGAAAGATCAGACTGATGTTAAAGAAACGCCTGAAACGATTGAAAAGGAGACTACCGAGGTACCTCGAGTTAGTCTTAAGGTTCCTGATGATGTACATGTCACCATTGGAAAGGATAACCTTAAGGACTACGTGGGTCCACCAGTATTCACATCGGATCGTCTGTACGATGTGACACCTCCTGGTGTCGCAATGGGTTTAGCCTGGACACAAATGGGCGGTGCTGCATTATACGTTGAATCCATTCTCGAGAGTGCCTTATCCCCCTCCTCCACCCCTGGTCTCGCTACCACCGGTAATCTCCAAGCTGTCATGAAGGAATCCACCACAATCGCGTATTCCTTTGCTAAATCAGTCATGGCCAAAAACTTCCCCGACAATCATTTCTTCGACAAGGCGAAATTGCATCTTCACTGTCCTGAGGGAGCGGTTCCAAAAGACGGACCGAGTGCGGGTATCACGATGGCCACTTCGTTGCTTTCGCTAGCATTGGATAGACCACTTGATCCAACCATTGCTATGACGGGTGAACTTACTGTTACGGGTAAGGTACTCAGAATTGGAGGATTGAGAGAAAAGACTGTAGCTGCAAGAAGGGCGGGAAGTAAAATGATTATCTTCCCAGATGACAACATGAGTGATTGGTTGGAACTTCCAGCTGTAAGTCTTTCTTTCTTTGTGTATCTGATAGTAGGAAAAGGGAAAATGCTAATTTGAGAAAAATAGAACATCAAACATGGAATTGAAGGTAAACCCGCAAAATGGTATTCAGATGTGTTTGATCTCGTCTTCCCAAATCTGGATAAAGAGGCAGCGAATGGACTTTGGAAAGATAGATTGGTGAAGAAGAAGGGGGAGAAGGACGGAGATGATGAGTGAGGAATTCATTTACTCTATTGGATTGAAAAATGAAAATAGAAATGGAGATACAGTGTAAATAGTAGAAGAAGAATCTGGTGAAAATTACCTTTGTGGTATTGTGGCACTACTGATGTTGGTGCTGGTGTGTGCATGCTTGAGTGTTGAGCAGAGGTGGATGGATGGATGGGTGGGCATTTTATGGCGTTGGTTGGGAGTTTTGTGTGTTTTGATGATGGATGGATGGATGAACGGATGGATTAACGGATGGATGGATCTCTACTCTAAGAATAAAAAAATGGATTTACAAATGGACTTTGAGGGGATTGAAGCATGGACGGGT